TGCCCAGTGTACGTGCGACACCCTCTAGCTTTCCCTATTTTCCTCCCCTCCACACATGCATCTTTACTCACAAACAGGAAGGATTCCTCCCTATCTCTTTGCCCGCCTCCTCTCCAGATTTCTAGCATTCTATCCTTCTGTTTCTCATCTTCACGTTCAACCCCCCCTCTCCAGCCATCTCTGTCATTTAAAAAGAAGGTTTCTTCTTTTTCTCTGTCCTTCACCCCTCTCCAGCCTTCATTCGTAAAGTCCTTCCGCTGGGTGATGAAGGTCTCCTCCTGTTCTGCCTCTGCTCCTTGCCACACATCCATTCGTTTATCTTTTTTCTCCAGCAGATGGCATTCCTCCCTCCCTCTCTCTGTGCCATCCTTCCATTCATATATCTCTCTATCTCTCTTCAAGGAGGTAAATGACTCATTTCTCATTCTCTCAGATCTCCGCCTCAAGTCATCCATTATTCCATCCTTTTTTAAATGATACGTCTCATCTTTAACTCTGTCCCTCCATGTTTCTGCACTGGTTGCCTCTCTCTGTTTCAACAAAAGTGGTTCCTCCAAATCCTTATACATGGGGTCAGATTCCTGTGGGGGAGGGGGAGGAGGAGGAGGAAGGGGCCTATCTCTGTACCGATCCCAGTCTCTCTCCCTTTCTCGCTCCTTATCCATCGCTCCACTTGTCTCAGCCGTGCCACGGTGGCGGGACAAAGTACCAGGTGTACAGCTGAGGGTGGAGTAGGGCCGAGCTTGAACATCCGGGGGACGAGCTTGTTGCCTTTCCTGGAGGCCACGTCGGCCGAGAGTGCCTTGCAGCTGGGATTTCTCATTGTCTTTAAACAGTTCCCTGGACTCAGGATCTCCAGCAGCATGTGTGTGTGACCAGCTTTCTTGTAAGCGTGTAGCTATGGCATGATCTTGCCGACTTGTTGTGGAATATGTCTCTTCATCTTGTGCGTGGTGTCTCGGATGTGTCCAACCTTCTTGTGCATTATGGCGTATGTTTGGTTGTAGGATGGTAGCCCCACCCTTTTTGGATGGCTGTCCATGTCTTGTCAATGTGGCAGTGTGAGTGAATGCTGCCTTGTCCTGCTGGTGAGGTCTGGCCAGACTTCCGTAGCGCTCTGGAGGAATGGGCATGCGGTGCGATGGCCGAAGGTTGCTTTGCACCAGCTCGGAGATGATCATCTTCTCTAGTGCAGCTGCATCGGACAGATTATGATGAAGCCCTGTGTTGCTGTCCAGATCTGAAGCTCCATGTGGAGTGAGAAGGGCTGGAGAAATATCATCACCTCCCATTTGCACTCCTCCTTCCCTAAGAAGGTCAGAACTGCCCACAACTCCAGCTCGGGAACCAGGCGTTGTTCCCAGACCATGCAAAGTGAAGGTGTTGGGTGTGTAGCCGCCGTTGAGACACACACTGTCCAATCCACAGGACTCTTGGCTCTGGGTTAAATTACCCTCTATTAGGTACAATGGGAGAATAACAGTTAGTCATCTGTGATACAGAGGTGATCAATAACATTTACATGAAGAGATGTTATTGTCTGAGTGGAATTCTGTCCTAATAATATATAACAGTAACTATATGCAGACATTGCACCTGTGGATGTAAAAGGTTGATTGTATCCCTGGGCCATCAGTGTGTCATAAGGAGAGACCCCAGAGTGAGTCTGCAACACCGGATTAGTGAGGAAATGGTTTCCTAAAGCAGCTGTGAAAGTAAGAAAAAACTTCCAGTTAATATTATATTCACTAACAAAGCGAGGTTTTAGCAACAAAAAAAGTCATCGTCACCTCTGTTAAGAGTAGGAGTATTGTTTGCATCTGCGGCAATGAAAGAGGATTCAGTCTGTCTGCGAACAGTATCGTTCCACATTCTCCTGATTCGACTCTGTAGTAGAAAATTCAAAGAACTGATTCGGGGCGAGGGGAAACCAGAAGAGATGTATACAGTGTAGAGGAATGTATTGTCAGGTACTTGTCTATTAGCCGTGGCTCTCCGGGTTTGGCTGCTCATGTAGCGGCTGTTGGAACGCAGAGCAGAACCTTTCACAGAGTCTGGGGAGCTCGACGAGGTAGTTACGCAGCACTGCGAAAGACGCGGACATCGACCGCACTCCTTCTGGCCCTACATACAGCACATAAACATCAGTGTTTATTTCAATGTTCACGTTGTGAAACAGACACGGTCGATCATGCACTCAGCCGGACCTTTTTGGTGAGGCTGCAGTGCAGTATGGTGATGAGAAGGCCCTGGGCTGTATTGAGGGAGGAGAAGAGATAAGCAAAGAGGAGAGATGGAGCAGACAGGAACATCAGACCTGAGGACCAGGTAACACTCTGCAAGAAGAGCAGTGTAAGGGAGCCTACTGCCCAAGCCCTGAAATACAAACAGACAAAGATAAAATCATGATTACATTTTTCATCCTATCAATGAACAGTTTCAAAAAGGCACTAAATAATTGCTGGGTTTAAAAGTTGACACT